CCAGCCCAAAACGGACACACACTGGTCCAAAACTGACCCAAACTAATCCAAAAGGGACCTAAACTGGTCTAAAACGGACCAGAACTGGTCCAAAACGAACACAAACCAGTCCAAAAGGGCCCCAAACTAGTACTAAACTGACCCAAACTAATCCAAAAGGGACCTAAACTGGTCCAAAACGGACCAGAACTGACCCAAACAAACCCAAAACGAATACCATCAAGCCCAAAGGGCCCCAAAATGGTCCTAAACTGACCCAAACTAACCCAAAACGGGCCTAAATCGGTCCAAAACGGGCCCAAACTAACCCAATCCGGCCCAAAACGGACCTACACTGGTCAAAAGCTGTTGTTTGTTGTTGATTCCTTGTTTATTTTGCATATATTTGATATAAAAACTTAATTTACCAACCCGTCCTACCCCACGGAGCTGAGCGCAGGACCCAAACTAACCCGAAAAAACCCAAAAGGGCCCCAAACTGGCCCTAAACTGACCCAAACTAACCCAAAAGGGATCTAAACTGGTCTAAAAATTACTAGAACTAACCCCAAACGAACCCAAACTGGTCCAAATCAGTCCAAAATAGGCCAAAAGATAACATGGAGGGAGGATGAATTTCAAACGAAAACTTTTTTTTGGGTGTTAATTCCCTGTTTATTTTGCATGTATTTTTATATAAAAACTTCATTTACCAACCCGTCCTACCCCACAGAGATCAGTCATTTATAACCCTTCAACAACAAGAAAACATTTTAAATCTGACTATCTTTACCAAGGATCAACAAGTTGGAAAAGCTAGAAAAACTATTGAAAAAGGCTTCAACAGGAGCCACTTTATGAACACACATTTCCAGGAATCCATCATAAATCCCTTTAAAAGCGAAAACAAAGAAAGGATTACCGTTCCCTTCCTGCCCAAAAGCTTTTCCCTTTTGATTTCTGTCAGTATAAACATGTTTATGGTGGTTTCTAACTAAGAACGGGGCTTTAATATCCAGCTTTTTAAACTTTCCTTTGACCTTTGACCCCCGAAACGAAGGCGTAATCCCAAAATATGGCCGACGACGCTTGTTTTTTCTCCTTC